CATCACAAGCATTCTTCCACAAGAAACTTTCTGTTAACCAATTAATAAATAACAGTTTTGCACTGTAGCATCTTTAAATCACGATTTTCCAGTGTACATTCGAGTGAAAAGCATAGTAGGGCCGGAAATCGGGTGAGAAACTGAAGTGCAGAGTGATGTCATAAAAATCGTTGATCCATATTGGTGGAAGTGAAAGACTGTATATTTTGAATGCTTATATCTTCAAAAATGTAAAATTTACAGTAATGCTAACATATTCATACGAGCCAAAAATATATATTTTGATTTGATGCACTGTAAAAAAATATTTTCATGATTTGTACACTGTAAAAAAATATTGTTGGTTTAACTTAAAAAAGTAAGTAACCTGCTTGCCTTAAAATTTTTAGTTGATTGAACTGGATAAAGTGAGTTAATGCAATGAAGGAGATTCATCATCAGAAATGTAAATTAATCTCCTTCATTGTATTAACTCAATTTTTCAATTTCAATTTTTTTAAGTTAAACCATATATATTTTTTTTTTACAGTGTGGGGACTTTAAGTAAGTTTGGGCTTAAAACGAGATCAAATAACTGCTATAGTGTGATCAGAAAAATAAACTTAAATTTTTTATATATTTTTTACAAAACAAAACTTAACATCTTGCTTAAGTCTCCCTTAAAACTTAGTCACTTTGCTTCTTAAGTAAATGTATACTTTAAGAATGTCTATATATTTGTGGTGGAAAACAGGAAAAAAAAAATAAAAAATAAAGATCAACTCCTCTGGATTATGCTCTGTGCTCTGGTTGGACGTTGGCCCCGATGGGCTGCCGTGATGTCAGCATAACTGATTACATCAGGATCTGTGGTGCTTGAGGAACGATTTAAGTAACTATGGCAACAGACCGCGGAATATTACTAGCAAACTTAAACTTAACGTCACTCTGTTCTCTGAGGCTTTTGTGAGATTTACTATAATCACCGGTTCAGAAACCTCTCTGCTGGTGCATCATGGATTAGACATCATCTGGGCCATGGGTCTCAGCGGGGTTAAAGACATCTGACCACATTCCCCATCTGTCAAAGCACCCAGCGCTTTATTAAAAAAAACTTACATTTGGGAAATACTACAAAACCTTATTAGTGTAGTGTGCGAAAGTTCATATGCATAAAACCCCTAACACTCACAGTGACATAACTCATCCCACATTGTTTGTGATACCTCAAATCGGCTTATTGAGGAAAGGTCAGCTTTAACTCTCTATAAGCAATCAGACTTAAACATTTTGTGTGGTAAAAAAAAAAAAATAAAAATAAAAAATCTAAATAAAAAATTCCTAATCTGACTTATATTGAAAGTATTGCATATTTTAAATGTACAATACAGTGCAAAAACAATAATTCATTAAGGTTGTTTAAACAAAAATAAACAGCCTTTATTTGAAAAAAAAAACAAAAAACAACAACATTATAAATGTCTTTACTGTCCCTTTGATCAATCCCTTTGATTTTTACTGACCCCAAACCCGAACGGTAGTGTAGGCCTATATTTACGTATATTTATTATTCATATATTATATAGTGTATATTTACATAGCCACCCATCTGATAAAACTACAAACATTCATGGTTCATTTCAATGGCTTTTTAAACGTTTCACATAAGAATGTATGATTATATACATTCTCAGAAGAAAAGGTTCTATATAGAACCTTAAAAGGTTCTATCAGCGCTACATATTTGGAACCCAAAGGGTTCTATAGAGAAGGGTTCATCTGGGTTCTATATAGAATCCTGGGGTTCCATACTTAACCAATAGAACCTTTTACCAAAAAAAATGGTTCTATATCAAACCATTTTGGAGTTCTATATGAAGCGGGGGATGGAACCATTTCTGGTTCTACACTCTAAAAAATGCTGGGTTGTTTTAACCCAACTTTGGGTCAAATATGGACTAACCCAGCCGTTGGGTTAAATTTTTACATTACATTTTTAACCCAACATTTCGGGTTTGTCCATATTTGACCCAACATTGGGTTAAAACGACCCAGCATTTTTTAGAGTGTAAATAGAACCATTTCTTCTAAGAGTGTAGTTCAGCACTCATTATAGAAGGATATTTAAATGTCAAATTGACCAGATAAAATGAAGTATTCCAGAGGGTGTGTAATAAGAGATGATAATTCCTGCTCTCTGGACTGTAGTCATGGCCTTGTCGAGCTTGAGCATCTGTGACCAACACTCAGCCGGTGCAAGGGTCAAAGGGAATCAGAGGATGAATGACAGTTTGCCCTTTCGCCCACAGCAGGACATACTTAAGTTTCTCTGCAGTTTTTAAAGAACAGCAGTTCTTGTTTTATGCAGTGCTAGCATGATGCTGTGAGTGACCCTAATTCGTTTCTCCCCTAAAAATGATCTTTTCACCAAACAAAAACTATTTTTAGCCTTTTTTTTTTCTAATCTTAAATCTGATTTAAGCTACTAAAATGCATTGCACTGAATCTAAAAGATGAAAAAGCAAATGCTAAGGCCACAGGCTCGAAAACTGAGGAAGGTCTCATTAGTCTTTGCAGGTTAATTGCAAAATGTACCACATGCTCTATTGCCTGCAGACACATTTAGTTTGTGTCTGTGAATAATAATAATAATAATAAAAAAAATGCTTCCATAGCTCTATTCGACAGAAATCAATGAGTCACTTTATGTGTTTAGAGGTTAAAGGGATAGTTCACCCAAAAATTACAATTCTGTCATTGATTACTTACCCTTATGTCCTTATGTACGTACCCTCAAACCCATTGGTTCTTACAGAAGCTCAACGTAACATGAGAATGAACCTCATTGGTTGATGAATGCGAATATAAGTCTCTTAAAGGAGAACTCTGGTGAACAATGAACCTTTGGTCTAATAAAACATTGGTACCTAGTCAATCGTTCTCTGAGTTTTGTTTTCATGATAATCGAATGTAAAGAGTTTTATCTCTAAAAACTGTTTAGCGTATAATGCTAGTAATGGGGGCATTGACTAAGTAAAAAGAAATCGCTAGTTTATACCACTAACAAGGCTCAAAATAGCCCCACACTAACGCAGTAACATAATGAGGGTCCCTACATGCAAAACGAAGCATTGAGAACTGTGTAAGTGTACAGACCATTTAATAAGAAGATACTTTATGAAGACAGTTCACTTCGCGTATACAGACAGGAACCATCTTAGAAAATAGTCTCGATAAGTCAAACCACGAACGTCGTGCTGAGTGATCTGAACTGTGTGAAGTTCAGCGAACTTCTGAACTGTATGAACGGCGTTCGGGGATCGACTTATCGAGACTATTTTTTAAGATGGCTCCTGTCTGTATACGCGAAGTGAACTGTCTTCATAAAGTATCTTCTTATTAAATGGTCTGTACACTTACAAAGTTCCCAATGCTTCGTTTTGCATGTATGGACCCTCATTATGTTACTGCGTTAGTGTGGGGCTATTTTTAATGTCTTGTTAGTGGTATAAACTAGCGATTTCTTTTTACTTAGTAAATGCCCCCAGTACTAGCATTATACGCTAAACAGTTTTTAGAGATAAAACTCTTTACATTCGATTATCATGAAAACAAAACTCAGAGAACGATTGACTAGGTACCGATGTTTTATTAGACCAAAGGTTCATTGTTCACCGGAGTTCTCCTTTAAGGGAATTTGGACTAAACTGCTCAATTGATATGGATTAGTTGTACGATCTCTTACGATTTTGCACCAGTTGAGCTGTCAATTGAGGGACAGAAAGCGATCAGCTTGCATAAAAAATATCTTAATTTGTGTTCTGAAGATGAACGAAAGTCTTACAGGTTTGAAACGGCATGAGAATGAATAAATAACAGAGTTTTTATTTTGGGGTGAACTTTCATTTTGACCTTCACGGTAAATAACCACCAATGACGGCCACCTTGACACACATCCGTGTTTTTCCAGGACCTTTGCCAAGCATTTGTATCACAACACTGTGTCACGAGTACAGCGGTCTTCTGTCTACAGGTATAATCTACTTTTCATTAAGAGCTCCGCTGGCCTGCTGATAGGAGCAGGTGTAGGCTATGTGTGACTTTATCTGTACATTCATGTGGATATAAACGTAATCATACGTGAAGGTTTCAGACCGACGGCCCGTAAAGATGGTGTCGCCGTACCTGGCGTGCAATCTGGGCGCGCGGCTTTACCTGCTGTTAGGAGCAATTTGCGCTCCCTGAAATCAAGCGTCAAAGAACGTTGCCTAATATGATTTTAATCCTCCTTGACCTTAAAATAGCAGCAGGGTTTTGGTTTTGATGGAGTAATACATGAGACCCCATCGTTTCTGAGTCAGAGGAGACGCAGATGATCCTCCATATGTAGGTGTCTGATATCCAAAGATTTTTGAACAAATGTTAAAACCAAGAGCTTCTGCAAAATACCAGTTTGTGGGCAAGGTAAGCATCACTATGAACAAAATGTGCTAGGGGCAAGTACATTGTTTAGTCTGGACTATGACAAACTATATAATTCACATTTAGAAAAATATGTTTAAATTTGAATAATATACATTTCATTATCTTTTAAAATGTTTTGTTTTTAAGTATTTTCTGCTCACCCAGGCTTGCATTTGTTCAACCAAAAATGCAGTCAAAATAGTAATTTTGTGAAACATTATTTCAATTTAAAGAACTGTTTTCTATTTGAATATATTTTAAAATGTAATTTATTCCTGTGACCAATGCTGCATTTTCAGGATCATTACTCCAGTCTTCAGTGTTATCATTCAGAAATCGTGATAACATGCTGATTTGGTTTATTTCTAATTATTATTGGTTATACTTTATTATAGTTTAAAATAACCAGCACCACCTCCTCCACAAGCATAACTATTTTTAGTGGAAACTGTAGGTTACCATGGTAATTTTAGTTATGGATGATCTCTGTCGACCCCCAGTGTCTCTGAAACGTCATTGCAGTAGTTGAGCCTCGCGACTTGCCGTAGTTTAAACATTAATCACATGTGTGAGTTGTCAGGAAGAAGAAACAAAAGCGGTTTTTAGGCCAGCTCTGAGAATGCCACCCATGGGCGATGAATGATGCAGCCGCGCGAGCGAAGTGTCCGCAGGTGACTCACCTGTGCGAACCGGCCGCGTGCACGCGCTTACACGAGTCATGGAGAATACAATCCTCGTATCCGGAGCAATGTGTAAAGAATCAGGAATGGAAGAGTAACGTTAGCTGATACATACACCTGACCCGTGTATGCCATGGGGAACTGCTGGACTCAATGTTTTGGGCTCTTTAGAAGGGAAGCAAACAGGATACAAAGAGGAGGAGGGTGAGTCAGTCAATGGCGTGTTATTTCATATGAAGTTGCACCAGCTGTGATCTCTGGCAGCATGGATCGCCTGTTGTCAGGTGCATTGCATTGAACGCTCGTATAACCGGCCAGTGGAAAATCTCTGGATCTTTTTAAAGGAATGTTCTGATATATATCAATGCAGTTTAACTGTTACATCACATACGCAGAGCTTAAGTTGAAAGCAACTGATATCAGTCCCATTAGCAATGTTCATTTCGCGAACGAATCGTTCCTTTTAAATGATTCAAGTGAATCGATTCGAGAGTTTGTAATCCACTTTACTGTTCTAGACGATAGTTTATTTTTTGATAAGGGATATATGTAATTATTTAATGGATACATAAAACAATCCACCGCGTGTTTCACACTTAAGCAATGAATCGAATCTGTTCTCCGATGGAACCGACTCGCTTGAATGACTCGGACTCATCAACGCTACTCTAGTTTCCGCATTAGTTGAGGTCTGATGATGATCTCAGGACCCCGCCCAGAGTCCTCTTGTGAATCCGCCCTAGGACATCAGCTTTGGGCCATTTGCCATTGTGTGTAATTTATCTACTGTATATCTGTCTGAATTGTTGAATCTAAACTAGTACCAGGCATGTTTTATACTCACTATGTTTTCTGTTAAGTCTTAGATTATTACTATTTTGAGAAGTCCCCGTTTCACAGAATAGAATCTCAGAATCTTTATTTGAAACCCAAGTGATGATATTGGACAATAATGTTGCTTAAATCCTTTATATGAAATATTTTAATAACATAAAACCAGCCTGACCAGATGATGATTTGATTGTTTTGTTGTTGTTGTTGTTGTTTTTTTTATTGCCAATAGGTCTAAATACTTCAAAAGTACCACAGCTGGGGAACACTATACCATTGAGGTCATCATAATTTATTTAAAATTATAAATCATTTATAAATACATTCTCATTGCTGTGCAGTTTGAGTGACATCCGTGCGTTCTGTTACAGTTTGAGAACCTTGTGGAGAGCGATGAGGTGAGGACACTTACAGAACTACACTCAACTTCTTTAATTTTATAATATTCCTCCTTTGCTAAGACAACACTTTTGCTTTGTTTTCCAGGGTGAGAGCTCGCAAAGCTGCCCTAGGTATGGTATTATTTAATCTAGACTCTTTTGAGTTTTACTTATTTACCCGGATACTTACATTACACTCAAGTAAAGAAGTATGTACTAGAGAGCAATAGTTCAAGCATTTAAATCGAAATCTGAGGTGAATTATCCATTTTTTTTGTTTTTTTTTTTGATTTGGCTATAAAGGTCACACAAAATGTTCTAACTCGCATGAAATTCTTTTAACAATTAAATAAAGCACATAATTAGTGAGATTACCATTGTCAATTGTCATACTTTTGTATGTTGTTGTTGCCACGACATAGCAGACATAGAAAATGTTTGATTAACAAGGAAAAGATACATATCATATGTGGATAGGACATGGTGTAATGAATTTTAAGACTCTTTATGGATATTGTGCACACAAAAGTGCAAGATGATTTCTAATATATTGATTTCATAATTGCATGTCTCTAAAAATCACTTAGAAACTATATGGATGGTCTAAACAATCTGCATAGTTGGCTCTTGGCTGTAAAATTAACAAGTCCAAGTAAGGGGGGCTGTAATTAGTCGCATTCCTCTCAGATCAGTGCATCACAGATTTTGATTGGCTGAGGGAGACTTTGAACTCTGCTCTCTCTTCTGTCATTGGTTCAGACCCATCAGCGAGGAGGAGATCAGCCACTTGAAAGAGCAACGCTACGCTGCCATCTCAGACCAACAGGCGCTGATCGACAAAAAGCTGAAGGCAGAGGTACGGGAGGTCACATGTGCCCTGATGAAACGTTCACAATAAGACCAGAACAAGAAACTTGTTTATAGTGTGAACAAGATCAATTTTACGTTGGCAACTTACGGTCAAAAGTTGCCTTTAAGTTAGAGCTTACATTGAGTTTATGGTTTCATTTGTTGTTTTCCATTGCTTTGGTTATCACCCCTGCTTTTATTTCTGAGTTTAGTTAACCTTCCCTTCCTGTTGTGATTTTTGCCCAGTTAGTGGCAGAAGAGGAGAAGTTAAGGCTAGAAGAGGAGGCTGCTTTTGCAGCCCAGCGCGAGGCAGCGCGGCTCGCTAAGGAACGAAAGCTAAAGGAGGTGAGGCGTTCGCACTGAGCACGCCCAGCCTTTCTCTTAACCCCGCCCACTTACCTTCAGCCACACCCTTCTCATTTATGACATGCCTTCAGGTCTATTTTAGAAGTTACAATTCTGAAAAAAAAATCCTTGAGTTTTTACATTATGCATTGTTTATCATGTATTTGTTGAAATTACTCATCTTTGAAACATTAGATTGTCAAACGCAATGAATAGACTTCTAAACAGGATTGAAGGCTCTTAATGTTGGTCCAGCATCAAATATCGATCAACGCCCTGTGAATAAACTCAGCACTTAATGCTGATGAAAAACAAAATCAATCTGCTTCCAAGAAAACCTTCTCCACCTAAAACTAACTATCCTAAACTGCATGTCTCTCATTTCCTCCTGTTTTTATTAGCATTTGTCTTCTTAATTTGCCCTCATGTCTTCTGTTCATTTTTATTTTCTATAATTTTCCTTTCTACCATGATTTGTGTGTTTGACCATCTGCTAATATCTGCTTCCCAGGAGGGCACCAAACTTTGGCACTAACAGTTGGAAATAATTTTAGCCATGTTTTTTGAAAATCTGAGCGATACCATAGTAGCACTTGGTGAAAAATTAGCGGAAGTGAGTCAGTCGTCATTCTTAAAATGTTCTGTTTTCAGGGAAAGCAGCAGCCACAGAGGACCAAACCCAAACCAGAATCAGAGAGCAATGACACTCGGCACAAACCGTAAGTTCAATCTGCCCTGAAATGAATGCAAATGGTATTCAGTGACCCCGAAAAGTGTTCGAACACTTAGGTTACACTTACAAATGTACAGTATGAGTGTCATTGCATTAGACACAAAATATCAAACCAAGTAGCATGTGGAAAGAAATGAAGCTAGACTTCCATAGAAATATCTTCCTATTTATGATCCATAATATATATATATATAAATGTGTGTTTCCCCAGTGCGTCCGATGGAGAGTTCGAGGTGTACCTGCAGAGTGTGAAGGCTCAATCTGAAGCATTTCGTGGTAACCGTGAGTTCCCATTAACACAATTCAATTTAAAAATCTATTAGAATACATGTATTTAAATAAAAAAATCTTTTAGTATTCATCTCTAAATGTTAAAATTGGTATCGACTGTGTGTGTGAAGGACTCAGCTCTGAGACGAATGTGGTGACGCCAAACACAGAGAGCAGCTGGGACTTCACCAGTAAGACTGACGCCACGTCACTGGACCTGGAGTGGGAGGATGAGGAGGGTGAGTGACTTCACAGAACCGATAACACTCGCATGATTATGAGCGCTAAGCAAACTATGAAGTCAAGTTACAACATGCCAATTTAAATGTTGCTGTTTTGCAGGTTGACTGTTTGCTTTAAATGTCACATCCAAGACAGGTTTTAACTTTGACATTTTGGAGTGTTTATTGATCTTGTTTAATGCAAATTGTAATATTCAAAATATGTGTCTCTTAAAGGGATAGTTCACTTTGAAATTAATTTTTGGTATGTTTTAGCTTACCTCAAGGGCAAGATGTAGGTGTTTTTGTTCCCACAGTATTTTAAATTTTGATAATTTTAGGTCAAACAATTCTTGTCTGTCTGTCATATAATGGAGGTCTATGGTCACCACCTCAAAGAGCATGCACAGAGAAGTCCAAATGAAACATGATTCAATGACTTGTAAATGTAAGTACACATTGATGGCCTAAGACGAGAAAACGAACTGTATTTATATCGTTTTACCTCTTGTAACCACAGTCACGTCCAAGTGATCGCTTCGGTCTGCACAAGCGCTGGAAGTGATCTCTTGCGCGGTTGTGAAAAAAAGTCTACTTGTCTGTTGATATACAGGAAATCGCAATGGAAGACGATTTTAATATATCTAAATATGTTTAGATCTTCACAGTGAAGGGTAACACTTCCGAAATCTGTGTAAACAATGAGTGACGTACACGCATGAGAGATCACTTCCGGTGCTTGCGCTGACCGAATTGCACTTGGACATGGCTGTGGTTGCAAGAGGTAAAAACGATATAAATACTGTTCGTTTTCTCACACAAACCGCTCGTTTCGTGTCTTTGGCCATCAATGTGTACTTACATTTACGAGTCATTAAATCATGTTTAATTTGGACTTCTCTGTGCATGCTCTTTGAGGTGGTGACCATAGACCTCCATTAAATGACACGAACGGTTTGACCTAAAAATATCAAATTTGAAACTACTGCGGAAACAAAGACGCCTACATCTTGGATGCCCTTGAGATAAGCTAAAACATATCAAACATTTATTTCAAAGTGAACTATCCCTTTAATGCAGTGTGAACTAACACGAATGAACAATAAACAATTGGATTATTATTTTTAAAGTGCTCCTATTATGCTTTTTCGGAGATTACCTTCATGCAGTGTGTAAAATAGCTTGTGAATGTAAAAGGTCGGCAAAGTTTCAAAGTGCACAACAAAGACGGAACCAATTCTGAACTGCCTGAAACATCCAGTCTTACTTTATTTTTACATTTTGATGAATGGTGAATTTTGTACAGGGACCTGTATTAACAGAGCAAATTGGGTTGACTTAATCCATGTGTCTTCACTGTAACAAATTAATATGCGTCATTACACAGGAATGAACCGAATGGGTCCTGCATGGGAGCGTTCCAAAACGGAGGAGGACATTTTACGGGCGGCGCTTCGTCCTGGCGGGAAACAGCTGGACAGCGGACCCACCTCCACCTCTGAGGACTCCAACGCTCTGGAGTGGGAGAACGACTTTGTCAGCGCACATCCCGAGGACAGTGGTGACCATGGCGACGAGGACTTTGAGGGATTCGTTAATCCAGTATTGGACACGCCCACTGAGGAGGCGGGGCATAAGGCCAGCTCTGACCAACAAGAGAGATAGTCTACAGCAAGAGACCGTGAGACCACAGCGATTTCAAATGCCTCGTTCAATATCAGTGTGATATGACCACGGATGGTCAGTTCAACTTGATGTATAAAATGAAATTCTTAAAGTGTGAGAGAAAATGTACTGTCATTGGGTGAATATCATGAAAATTGTCATAATTTATCCCAAAAAAATATTATATATATTTTCATTATTTTGACTGTTATCTGTATTACAATAAAAATACTGTAATACAAGCATTTCTAACTTTTAAATCAGTCGATACAATACATGCAGCCATGCTCAAACATCTTTATGGATGCTTTATTTTGTTTATGCAAAATATAATTTCTTTTGGGATGAATAATGGCATGTTTGTGACAGTTTTCCTGAGATTCACACCATTAGGTCACTGATTTATTAGGATTTGCGTTCCACGGGTAAATTTGCCCCGGTTTTTAATTATTAGATGCATCTGTAATTTGTTTATTCGTTTCATTTTAATAACTGGGTGAGGAATGTTTTTCGTTCAGCCTTATTTCAGAAGTTTTCATTAGAGATCTGAATCAAGTGCAATTTTAGAAGAAGAGGGAAGTTTCTCGAAAGCTACAGATGTTTTCCAGAACAGTCATATCTTTTCTTTTGCATGGTTGATACGATAACAGTCATATCAGACATTATAACAGGGAAAATGACTTGTCAGGGAATGTGTGCCCTTGTATGATGTGTATGAGACACAGGACAGTTTAAAGGGAAAGACCTTTTGGCTAAAATGCATTGGAACGTATTTAAATTAAGTCCATAAGTGCTTTTAAAATAGTCACTGTTTATCTGTCTGTGGGTCAAAGGGTTTGTTGTCAACACTTTTTGGAAACGGTGACGACCAGTTCTTTAAAACCTTGCATTTCTTAACTAAATGGATCAGAAAGAGGGAAAACACATGGTGTAATATGGATATAGTCATATTCTACCTCTGGTTTTGATAATCCTGACGTTATTGAATGAATTCATGCTGTCTTACTGTATCTAAAAATGATTTGATGTGTATATCTTTCCGAAACATGAAAGTTGTTTCACAGTGAAATCGAAGAAATATTATTTTGCATAAAGAAAATAAGCATGTTTTAGGAAAATTGTTTTTGACATTGATTGACACCATTTTCATGAATACTTATTACCATATTAAAGGGATGGTTGATTATGATTTCACTTTTCTAACTTTAGTTAGTGTGTAATGTTGCAGTTTGAGCCTAAACAACATCTGCAAAGTTACAAAGTTAAAAGCAAAGGGAGATATTTGCTTTTAAAGAACTCGTTTTTTAAGGACTACAACAAACGGCTGGTAGGGACTACACGAGCTTCCCCCTGGATTAGTGACATCACTAACCCCGCCCCCGCAAACACGCAGTCCATGTTGAGGAGAGTTGTAGTCAAGCACATTTGTGAGTAAACTCAAACTTTAGCATCCATCTTTCCACATGCAATAGAAAATCACTCTGTGTGCAACTCACAACAGTTCCTATACAAGCGATTTATAGATTATCAAGACAGAATATGCTAATTGAAGATAGTTAACTCCATATCAGCAACATAAATTCAACAACTAACCATTCAAAGATGTCCTGTTGCATTCTATGTGTTGTCACTTCTTCTTAGTCTCTCCATCTTTGTCTGACTCCAGTTTAAACATAAAAGGCAGGACAGCTTCTGACATTTTAGCGTGTGTCTTCGTGAGGTAATCTCAGCTGCTAACGCAAACACTCTTGAAGCTCCGCCCACTGTCCCGGGAACTGCAGTTCATTTGCATTTAAAGGGCCAGACACAAAACGGTGCGTTTTTGCTAACCCTCAAAAAGTGACAACTTTAGCATGCTATATAAAAATATCTGTGGGGTATTTTGAGCCAAAACTTCACATACACACTCTGGGGACATCAGCGATATATTTTACATCTTAATTGTGAAAAGGGCATTTTACCACCTCTTTAAAACGTTCTCTTTCTGTGATGTGAAAAAGTCAAAATCACTATGGCCTAAAATATGCTTATATATTTCTTTATATGATACAATTTTATCTTTGTTTTTCTATTTAATTATGGGGTGAGATATGACCCGAACATGTTTTTTGTGACCCTATAGATGCCATATTGAATTTAATGCAGATGAACATGTGGTGAGGGATATCATCTTTACAATGGAACGTATAAATGGCTTAAATAACATGATTTCACACCCTTTTAAAACTGTTCAATGGAGTTGTTGTACTGAAGTTTTTTCTCTGAGAGACGTTTCGTCCACTGAGCAATCAGACTGTTGTTATAAACAATGAAAAATATGGCATCTAACCTGACAGGGTCTTTATTGGAACGGTATTAGCATAATGAATGAAAGAGGGGTCATCAAATGGTCAGAAATTATTTTTACACATGAATTTGACTCGACTCGTTTAATTGTTTGCCATCTGCCATTGACCCACATATTTCCCTCAACCACAATGCTTTTAAATGTTTTCATGTATTCTGATCTGTATATTAATGATTGTAAAGCAGACGCGAAAGGCCTTTAAGAGCAGTGGAGACTCCGCGTCTGTCTCTAGTTGTAAAACATCAGTGCCCACAAGAGCTTCTGTACAGCACAATCATGTCACGTTATTTTCTTATTCTACCAGCACACCTCAAAAGAGATGTATTCATGTCGTCAGAATGTGAAGTATGATCAATGCAGTGTTTGTTTTTGAGTCTGTTGACCATGTAACTCATCCTGTTTGAAGAGTTTGGGAACATTTGCAAAGATAAATGAATGTTTGTCCATCAGTCAGAATTAAATGGGCCCAGGTGATTGTAAATAATGTGTAGCTGATGTGTGAAATGGCATTTTAAAATACAGCCCCATCTGTGTGTTTATGGAGGCATATTTATGGAAATGACTACAAGGTTTGCAGCTTTAACTGATTGACTAATGGAAACACTGTTACCAGGCCTTATTTTGCATTATGACTAGTGTGTATATTGAAATGATAATAGTGGTTCTCAATTTAAGGAAAATAAAATATGCTGAACATTCCAAGAAAGGCTCTGGAATTACGTTTCCTATGCAATTCCCAACTCTTCAACAGAGCTTAAACTGCTGCACAGTTACATTTGTGATGTTTCCTTGTGTTAGAGGAACATCTTTTTTTTCTCCACAATTCTGGGTGTTAGTGAAGGACCTGTCATATTTCTGATAAACTGAACGTAATTACAGTTTTTATTATCTAATCAACAGAACATACAACCTTGGGTTAGATCTGACTAATAAACAAATAATATTACACCCGTCTGTTTGCATTTATATTAGGCAAAATTAACTGGATGACACAGAGTATATATATATATATATATATATATATATATATATATATATATATATATATATATATATAGGCCTATATATATATATATATATATATATATATATATATGATAAATATAACTTTCAGACTGAGACAAAATGTCAATGATCTGAACATTAGCTAAATTTTAGTGAGAGCGCTACACAGACTGTAATGACAAAAACTAAACTGCAGGTGGCGGCGTTGTTTCATAAATCAATCAATGAATCAAACACGCAGGGCGCCAATATCTACGGACATCCATTGAGTTTAAATATCTTTATGTGGTATAAAGCTGATTAATATTATAATGCATAATAATTACATGTTCAGACAGTCTTCGATTACAGTTTCTAACTTAGTGTAAATCATTTAAAGACAGTTTATTCTGCAAGATTTTGAGGGTCATTGATTGGAGGTCATACTGTTTACTCTTATACAGGGATTTTGCCTCTTTCACAAGATGAAAGTATCAGCCCAAGGGAAAGAGCCTTGAGGTAAAAATAAATTGCTCTTTCTCTCTCCTGTCTGCAGCTCCGGCAACACGCTCAGGGAAACTAAAATGAAGATATATGACAGACACACACTCACAGACTAACTGCCATTTAATTTGATCAATAGAGTCATTGTGGTCAAATGAAATGAAACCTATGTCAATTTCAGTAGCATATGCCTATCTGATATTTTATGATCTGTTATTTATTTCATTCAAATGTACAGCCTCACATCAGTGGTTGAGGAAGGAAAACGTACTGTAGCGATAAAAATGTGTTATGCTCTCTTATTTCCTGTTGAAAAAGATTTACAGTAACAGTGATGTAAAGACACTAAGGCACTTGAATGAGTGCATCAAGCCATGCTTATGGTGACTTTTAGGCATTTATTATTGAAGACCGCAAATTGTCAAAGGGTTAGTTCACCCAAAAATTCTGTCAGTATTTACTCACCCTCATGTTGTTCCAAACCTCTATGTGTTTATTTCTTCTGATGAACACAAAGGAAGATGTTTGGAAGAATGTTTTAATCAAACAGATCTCATTCCCCATTGACTATCATATGTATTTTTTCCTACTATGGTAGTCAATGGGGAATGAGATCTGTTTGATTAAAACATTATTCCAAATATCTTCCTTTGTGTTCAACAGAACAAATAAACACATAGAGGTTTGGAACAACATGAGGGTGAGTAAATACTGACAGATTTTTCATTTTTGGGTGAACTAACCCTTTAAAGTTCACTTTTGGCTTGCTTAGTTGGGGACATTTAATATTCAACAATAATATTAATCTGTGTTGTATTACTTTCATGTTATCACTGTGAAGCTGCTTTGATACAATCTGTATTGTAAAAAGTGCTATATAAATAAAGGTGAGTTGACTTGACTCAAAAATTATGCAATTCTGTCATCATTTACTCACCCTAAAACTCACTTTTCCATTAGCGTTCACGAAAGATGTGAAGCAGAACATATGTGGCTAAGAGCAAATACATCCTAAATTTGATGTTTTACAAGCAGCTTTGTTTTTCAGTGACTATTGCAGCTTTCGTGCCAATTTTAAAGAAAGTTTCAGTGTTTTGTATTCGGTCAGTTTCTAGTGACACATTACAGTAGCCTGTAGATATAATATAAGCCACAGAGTAATGCTGCAGAATAGTGCATTCACCTATAGCATCAGCCAGCCAACAACAGCAGTTATGGATTTTAAGATTTAGATCATATCTGTTAAATAGATACTGTAGCTTGGGGACATACAATAGATTTGGTCAAATTTTAAAATAGACAAATAGATAAAATAAAATAGATATTATAGGCTAGATTTCAACACATTCTCACCCCAAGGCATCACCTTTTGACCATGCTTCAATATTTGACGCTTCAGGCACCCTTTAGGTTTAGATCTGGGGTAGGTCAGTTAGGTGACGCCTTGGGGGTGAGAATGGGCTGTATATTTCTGTTGGTTTGTGTGTTTTTCTTTGTTTTGTGGACAGTCCACTGGGTTGTGAATGAGACAGCATAGAGAGCCTAAGTCCCGCGCCTCCTCTTCCGGCTCATGGGACCTTATTTCGGAAAAAAATATGAATGGTAGTCAATGGCGAGAGACAACTTATCTTTTTATTCCGTCTTCACTGTGCCCTCAATTACACATATGATGTTTGTCAATTGAAAATATAATTCTGAAAGTCAAGAACGTCGCAGTTTGTCATACAACAGAAGAGTAACATTTAGTTTTATGTGAAAATCGCTCTGTGAACTACGTCTCCCGGGAAACGAAACGAGATCCGCTGTTCGTGTGTGGGCAGTCTGGAACAAAACACTCAGGTAGGACGGCGTAACGTACGATTATAACGTAAGACGGTAGAAACAATGACAGACATTAGCCTCAGTAAAGTTAGCTTCATTCATTGAGACAAAATGTGCGGCTTTGGGGTTTGTAGTCTTTTACGTATTTTCACAGTCTTATACCTCAACGGTTTTACATCAAACTGCAACTTTCTTTACTTTAAAATGTATAATCATATGTGTAATTCAGGGCACAATTCAAACGAGATCAAAATATTTGTTGTCTCTCGCCATTGACTACCATTCAATATTTTTCCGAAATAAGGTCCTATGGTGGTCGACCGGAAGGGGAGGGAATTAGGCTCTCTATAGAGACACCATAGACATATACACTAGACCTCACCTTGGGGTTCTAAGCATGCGTCAAAACTGCCGCCATCTTGGAACAGGGGTCTTGTCATAGGAAGTAGCTAGGTAACGCTGCTATCTCTGCCTTTACGTCGAATTCATTAATGGTGGCAGACTTTTGTGCAGCGTATGATGTTCACGGATGA